AAAGGTTGTGTTTGCTTATCTCTACAGGTGTTAGTAATGTTATATTTGATTATCTCTAGTGGTGTTTGATTATCTCTTCTGGTGTTGGAAAGGTTGCGTTTGCTTATCTCTACAGGTGTTAGTAATGTTATATTTGATTATCTCTACTGGTGTTGGAAAGGTTGTGTTTGCTTATCTCTACAGGTGTTAGATAGCTCTGATCGGTTACTGATGGCCTTCGATACAAAATTTGAAAATTGGACAAATGCAATGTATGTAAAGTACAATCTTTAGAAAATCGCTTGAGATATCACATCCAACAGATTTGATTCATATAGAAAATAAAACAAAGCTAAAACATACCACATGAACCACAAATGGACACAAAACTGGCTGAGCTTAACAGGTTTGATAAGATAAATTAATAACAATCACCGATAAGGTCCAGGAATCAAGAGAAGACATTGAGCTTGTGCGAAATAAAAATCAGCTAATGATACCAATTGAGTTATAAAGAACCGATATAAACAGGAAATTAACAAATAAACCAGAAGGAAAAAAATGTTTCAAATATTAACGTTCGTATATATATATATATTAAACGACACCTATTTTACTAACTTATATCTGACAAGACATAAAAAGTACACTAATTATTATTTGGTCCTCCTTACTGGGGCCATGAATGGCCTGGTGGTAAAGGCGCTAGACTCATAATCTGAGAGGTACGTGCTCGAATCTTCGTTATCGAATAAGCTCGCTCTTTCAACCATGGGGGGGGGGGGCGTTATAATATGACAGTCAATCCCACTGATTGTTGGTAAAAAGAGTTGCCCAACAGCCGGCGGTGGGTGGTGTTGACTAGCTGTCTTCCCTCTAGTCTATAACTGCTAAATTAGGGACGGCTAATGCAGATGGCACTCGTGTAGCTTTGCGCGAAATTCAAAACAAACAATACCGATCCTTCTTATTGGAAAGAAATTTATGGAAAAACGTTCACACTTTGGTCCTCTCTCCACAGTTGGTAATGTTTACAGAGAGAAACGCCCATTCGTTATTCCACTCTGAAACTAGCAACGGCAAAAACGTCCATACAGTAACCGAAACAAATTGAAACTCTAGACTATTAAGTTACAGCATTATTAATATAGGCAGATTAAAACTGTTGGCCACTGTTTAAGCACTAGCACTAGTTCTAACATTTCTTGATTCGCGACCTTTTATTTAAATGTATTTACCGATTTTTTTGTTTAAAAAAAAATTAGGAGATCGTAATTATGAAACATCGTAGAATACAATATTTTCTCGGTAAACCAAGAAAAGATACAATTTCTATCCTGGTGTCTTGTATTTTTGTAAGGTGTTTTTTTTCTTTTTGGAGTGGACCAAAAGCTTGACGCTGATTTAGTTATGCCGGAGAATATCCATGATATAATTCTATCACACCACGTGAAATTTTCTTCGACTTTCTAAGCACGTCTCCATCCCGCCCAAAACTGCTGTTCGTGAGCTGAATGCAACGTGCATTATTAACAACGAGCTACTTTCTTATGTCTACTGATAACTGTACAACTATTCTACGCAGACACGTTTCAAGGAATGTACTGACAAATATGAATACGTCGTGAGGAGTGGGTGGTAGATGGCGTTTAGGCCAGATACGTGCCAATTTACCATCTTCAACCCTGAAAACATCACATGTGATAAAAATCGAATGATAAAAATGACATCTATTTGTGTTGACTTTGTAAGGATAAAACCGCCGGAGTGAACAGATGTAATGATCTTAAAACATGTAACAGATGAATTAAATTAGGGTTAAAATACAAAATTATGTTAAGGTATAAAAGGCTAAAAATACAGACTGTTTTTCTATATACAGAGTTGAAATACTTTGTAAAATTACAGAATGGGCTATTAAAGGTGTACCAAATGCAGGAATCGAACCACAAATTTTAGCGTTATAAGCCCTAAAGCTTACGATTGAGCTACGGGGGAATCAGAATTGTAATAAAAATATCTTTACAGAGTTAAAAGATAGAATATGCTCTACAGATAGAGAAAGAGAATTAAATACGAAATTTCACTGTATGTATATTGGATGAAAAGTACAGTAAAATGTTCTATAGTTTTAATACAAAAAGATCGTCTAAATAACATTAACATACGATACAACATTCTTTAAATAAAGGTAAAATAAACAGCAATGCTGTATATAGATAGGTAGAATGAACTATGATGTTTTTATCTGTCTTCTGGAGCAGCTGCTATTAACAAATATTAAAAATAAATAAAATTTAGAAACTCTCTCTATATATATATATTTAGGTAACAACTACATTTCAAGTTATAATAGAACCCAAGACCAAAGATCAGTTTGTTTTGAATTTCGCGCAAAGCTACACGAGAGATATCTGCGCTAGCCGTCCCTAATTTAGCAGTGTAAGACT